TCTGAATATCATAACACATTTCACAAAAAATCTTATTTATTAAATTTACAATTCACAACTCCATAATTGTTTGGTTAAAATACAGGATCCTCAAAAACATAACTCTTTCACTGGTGTGTACAATCAAGTCGGTGCCTTCCCACGATCCTGAGAAAAACCTGAAACACATAACACATAACATGGTAAGAACGAAGCTTAGTGAGTTCCCCAAAATACCACACACACAACCCATTAGCCACTCGAGGCTATATCACTGTAAGAACCTCTGGTCAATGTGTCTTAGTGGGACCCTTCAGTCCCACGGTTCGTTGGACCCTCTGGTCCGGTGTGTAAAGCTCCGTATAGCATAAATCACAAAGACATAATGCAAAGCATGATTCATAAAACATAAGGTAGGAATACCATGCTACTCAATGTAAGCACATAAGACCCTCCGGTCACACATAAGTACCACTCTAGGTAAAGTATAGTGAGAAGACTCACCTTGCAAGCAACAAGCAATTATCCTTGAACTCGAATCTTGAACTAGCCACTGCCTAACACATAGGGTAAATATCTCTAATTAATACTCGATTATCGACTCTCAGTAACCAAATGTTATTCTTCTCTATCTAACTCTCGAATTGGGTAAAAGACCATTTTACCCCTCCATGGTCTCCAAAACTCATGTTGACCAAACCCTAAAGTCAATAGAAGTCAAACTCGAGTCAACAGTCCATGTTTGACCTGACTCGTCGAGTGCACCCTTGAAACTTGTCGAGTACCCTCGTTTCCTTAGAATTCTCAAGAAAGTCCAGCTCAACTCGTCGAGTTGACCCCCAACTCGCCGAGTTATCGCACAATCAAACCCATCGGGACAAACCCTCACTGACTCGTCGAGTCAGGCTATGGACTCGACGAGTACCTTTGATTAGATTCCTCATTCAAACGATTTAAGGCAGATCTATCACTTCAAATACTAGATCTACCATTCTAAGGGTCGATTGTCATGTAAAGCTGCAAGCTTTACGTTCAAACATGGCATATAAGGCTCCTAATGCTAATACATGCTCCAACAAGGCACCAAAACACAATAACTCTTTAAGTGACTGAATAAAGCTTAAGATTTTGGACCCTATGGACCTCACAAGGTCCAGATCTGAAGTCTAGACCTAGAAAGGGACTCCATGTACTTATATCTCAACAAAAAGGTGATAGAAAGCCCTATTCATCAAAACATGAGATCTAATCACCACAAGGAGAAAGGTAGGAACTTTTTACCTTCTCTTGAAGCTCTTGGACAAAATAACACTGATCCACTAGCCCCCTTCTTGTTCCTTGATGACTCTTTCCCTCCTCTTCAAAATAAATGTACCACAAGACCCCAAAATTAGCTCATTTCACACTCTCTAGCTCAAAAGGACGTTAGGGTTTACTCTCAGTGAAGGTGAGCCACAAATGAAGCTATAAGTTCCCTTATATAGACCCCAACCCCCAGGAAATTAGAATTTCTCTACCCAACACCTACTCGGCGAGTCAGCTCTCTGACTCGTCGAGTCTACTCATTAAGTCCACGCTGGCAACTCGACCCTACTCGGTGAGTCGGATTCACGACTCGTCGAGTCACACTATAAGTCTCAAGGTTAAACACACATTAATGTATCTAAAAGTCCGGATGTTACAATTCTCCCCCACTTGATTTAGATTTCTCCCTCGAAATCGCTTCTCAATATCACATAGATTGAACCCAACAACTCGAAAAGTACTACCGAAAGGGTCTCATACCACACAACTAACTTCCTCCAAAGACACCTGAATCCAATCAGGAACTCCCAAACCTGGAAGAGGACATACCCTTATGCCTCTACGATACCCCTTCTGACTCACCAAAATCTGAAAACTCTAGTGGTCTGTCTCACTGTCAGGCCGCCCTCTCAATCTATCACCATGTTATTTGCTCCTCGAGTAATGGACCATGAAAACTCATTGCCCTTCTGATTCTCTCGTAGCAACTGATAAAGATAAGTCAAAGCCCAAAAATTTGTCATCGATCACTCACACCAGACATACTAAGTGCTCCATATCATACTCCAAGGAGCGAAAGGTTCACATTACACCAGAGATCCATCCACTGTACTACAATAGAAATCCCATCTGAACTAAGAATTCTCAACACCTGCCCTCAAACACAAGAAAATGATCATGCTTGCTCAGAAGCATCCTCTGACATCTAACAATCATAAACCTCGGCTCCCTCTCAGATATCCCTTTCAACGCTGAGCACCAGGTCAACTCTTCTCCCCATAGTTGTACCTTTAAAGGTTACCCATTGCATGCTCCAAAATGTCTCACTGAATTCCTTCTCGCAGCAACTATCTCAACCCATAGTGACACACAAGTTATGAAATCTACTTTACCCTAAGCGGATACTACAATCCCAACTGAAAATGCCTCACCCTCGACCTCTATCATCTACTACTCTTTATTTCCATACGTCTCGTGGTACTCCTCATACAAACAAACCGACCCACTCAGGTCTAAGACATCAGATGAAACACGACACTCCTCAAAATGAAACCCATCTCTAAATCCAAAATCTCATTCACCTACTCAAATCACCACCGAAGCTAAACTCAAACTCGAGAGTCTAGTCTGATGCATAATTGGAACCACTCGTCCGAATGAAGCACTCAACTCATGACCCATGACCCGTAACCCACGCGTACCTCACTTCTCCAATTATTTCGATTGTGATAACCACAACTCAACTCATAATATAACAATCCCCGATAATTATGGAGACCCCAGTCTCGCCCCTGATCCGACCACCCGGTTCCCGCAACTTAAAGAATAAGGCTACCCAAGCCTAAAAAACTCTTATGCATCATGCTCTGAATAGTGAATAATACAACTCCCCGTAGTATCATAACATTCCCTCTTGCTAACCTATGAAGGCTACGGCTCCCCACAAGCCTATGACACTCTCTTACTGACACATGAATACTACGACTCCCTATAGTATCACAACGCTCTCTCACTAACTCGCCATGGGCTCACTCCATGGTTTTCCATGATAATCCGAAGCGATTACTCCCACTCGGATCCGCTCACCCTCTTATCATCCCAAAGTCTCCTCCTCGGGTCACGACCCCCACTGAGTTCACTATCAAATACTCCACGGCTCAACATAGATAAGTCACACACCCACCCAAGTTAAGCATCACCACTCCTGACAACAACCATCGTGACCAACACTTTTCTTGCTGTAATTTACACTCTTGAATACTTCCGCTTGATGAGAGTTAGAGGAAGGACTCCCACTGGAACCGTCGTCACTTGATACTCCCCTTGCCATCTCATGACTCAAGTCTTAAAATAATCTGAAATTTTTGGGCCTCATACTCAAATTCCTCGACACGTCATCAAATAAATTCACGATGTATTGCCCCCAACCATTGATCCGCCATTTGTGGCATCATACTCGGATACCACAATAAACCACCAATGGCCGCCGGCCGTGGTGGCGGCCACCTCAAGACCGCCATGGAGGGTGTGTATGTTTCTACGTGTGTTTATTAGTGTTTGTGTGTGTATTGGAATATCACATTGTAATGTGTAATCCATCGATATAATAAAGAGAATCCGTCACCACCACCGTTAGGTGGTGGTTGCCGCCTCCTGCCGCTACCAGCCGCCGTGTCGGGTGGCGGTGTGCTTTGATTACGTTTGGACCCCTTTTGAGGGATGTTTGGACAATGTGGGATCAATGAAACCCTAATAGACCAAAGAAATCCTAGTGGGCCCAATGAGACCCTAATGGGCCTAATAAGGCCCAATTTGACCTAAAAGCCCAACCAATGGACTAATGGGCTAGTAATGGGTTGGAAAACCCTAATGGCGTAAGACCCTAATTTTAAGAATTTATCAGGACACACACGAGATTATTTAATAACTTGAAATATTAAATAATAATCATTGACAAAAAATTAACCTAAAAGCAATATTGGACTTAATGGATTAAGTCCTTAATAGGTTAAGTAGGAACACTTAACCTTAATCATCATTTCACGTGAAAGCCCTAATCACACTTGGGCCTTGAATTGGGCCTTCCTGTTGGGCTTTGGCGATTGGACTATTGGTGGGCCATCCAAGAGTAAGTTAATGGACCAAAGTAGTTAGATGGTCTTTAGGGTAAGGCACATGTGAGGACTTAGGCCCAACTTGGAAAGTTGGGCTATAGATGGGCCATAATTAGGCCATCAGGATTATGTGATATTGGATCATGGGAAATGGATTGGAATAATGAGATGGGCCTTAAAGAAAGACCATGTCGAGGTCTGAGCCTAATTTAGAAAAGTAGGCCATGTGTTGGGCTTTGGCCCATTACTTGACCTTTTGGGTTTTGTATTGTGATTTGGACTTTAGGCTTGAAACCCAATTATCAATTAGGTGTTGTTTGATGTTGGTAGTTTGGGAATCTGTCAACCATCAGTTGGAGTTTCATCCGCAAGACTTCAGCAGTGTCAGGTGAGTTATCCTCACTATATCAATAGGGTCTAGGGCACCAAGACCGACCTTTATGGAGTGTATGCTAGTGTATGATATTTATGTTCACATGTTTGTTTAATTGGGGGTTGGGTTGAGGCGGTCCTGCTTTGTGTTGTAGGCCAACATACCCGGCGAGGGTCCGGATAGACTGTAGGCCCTGCGAGGCGGTCCAGTCATGTTGAAGGCTCATGATGCATACAGTTCTACATTGGTTATATGATATGGTTATCTTTGTATAGTGTTGGTATTTTGGGGTAACTCACTAAGCTCTCGGGCTTACAGTTTTAGTTTATTGTTTCAGGTACATCAGATGATCGTAGTAAGGCGAAGGCGTGATCGTACAACTCCTCATATTTTATGGTTTTATGACTTGATTCTGGGGATACTCTGATGTCTAAATTATTTTGAAAACAAACTATAATAATTTGATGGTTTTAAAATGTATTAAAAAGTTTTAATTTGGCTTGAATTTTATGGGGGGTACAACTACTGTTAAGACATTGGAAAATCATCTCACAGAAGAAAAGGACTCATTTTCTGGTCTTCATTTTGCTCTTCAGAAAGACAATGTTGATCATAATACTTATATGTCTAATTCTATACTTGCTTTGCAAAGGAATTATGAGGGCGAAAATAAGTTGATAGATACAATTGTTGTGAAAACAGAGAAGATTATGACTATGAAGCAAGAATTGAAGAATGACGATAATGCCAATCTTGTAAAGATCGATGAAGAACTGTGGTTTGTGAAAGAAAAAAACTTTGAAATTAATCAATGTTTGGTTCGTATTGTTAAACAAAAATATGCTCATTGCCTTGATTATATGTCTTAGTTATTTGATGCTAAGTTGCAGCCGATTCTCTCAAAGCTTAATTCATTATCTAGTGTTTCGAGTAGCAGTGCTACTACACAACAATGGAGATGGGACTGATAATGAAAATATGATGGAAGAAGATTTGAATGAAGAAATTTCAACCTCAGAGCCTATCAATATTAAAAATCCTTATGAAGTTCCGAAAAGAGACGAGAAACCTTAAAAGGCGAAAAATGTTACTATTGGAAAAGAATCAGTGAAAGTAGGTGTGAAAGTTGATGATGTTGCACAGAAGAAGATTTCGGAGAATATCCCTCAGAAGGGTAATGTAGCTTCTGGAAAGGGAAATATCAAAATTGTTTCGGAAGAAGAAGTTAATCCAACTGATATTGAAACGGGGAATAAGGCGTGAGCTGCGAGAGACAAAGAGCTTGATGAGTTGAATTCTCCCAGCATGAAACTTAATCAACAAGATGTTGAATTGTGCAATAAAGAGGTTTCTGAAGCATCAAGAAGAGCTTTATGGCATGCTTGTACTATTGAACGAATGCAGGAGGAAGCCATCAAGAAGTTGAATGTTTATTGGTTTGAACCGAGTACTTCTTTTTCTATGAAAAATGATCATGATAGCACAGTTGATTTCCATGTGACAACAATAGCGTTCTTATTTTGCTGATTTGATCAAGTTTTGAATGCTCCGTTGAGTAATACTGTGCAACACAGGAAATTGTTCAGGTTTTATGCAACTTATTTGAAGCCGCAATATGATATTTGGACGTTAAAGAGGGTTTTTGGATTGAAGGTTGGAAAACCTTTCAAGGTTGATGAATATACAAATATTTCATTCCCAACTCGTAGGGTGTTAATCATAACATGTTTGACTTTACTCTTGCTGATCTTTCATTAATGAATCCATATGAATGGATTGTTACGTTCAATATTTAATATAGAGACCCAGTCAAGTATGATCAAATCATTCAACACTTGTAAAGAATGATTAGAGCGTATATTCAGAAATCTCAAATATGGATGTGGAGATCTCAGCTGTATTGAAGAGAGTACTGATTCTGAAACCATTCCTACAACCCGAAGGACTAGAACATCTTAAGGATGGTTACACTCAGAAAGATCGATAAGGAGTGTTTTATAAAACGAAAGAGGATGGAGTCATGTGAAACAACATGATGCACTTAAGAGATATACATTTGTTTTCTTCTGATACTCTTTCAAACGTTCTATCAAGAGCATAAGTGTGCAAGCTAAACACCACAAATGATTTAAAGTGTGTTTTAGATATGTTGAAGTGGTAGATAGCAGTTTGCATGGTACTTAAAGGAATAATTCCAAAAGTTTTTGATGAGCAACAGTGAAGACTACTTTCACGACTCGACACAAATGGGAGAATTGTTAAGTCTCGCAAATTGTATTAGATTGTTTTAAGTCTTTATGCGAAAGGATTCGTAACTTTTGTCATGTATAACTCTTTGCTATTTCGTATGCAATATGAACGTTTGCATTTCGTATATTTTGTTTAATACTTAGGTTCGTGGTTTAGACTGTTGACTTAGGTACTCAAGAGAATAAAATTTGATGTTACTTTGGTTTCTTATACATAGAGGGGTTAGTTAGATAGATAGTGTATTTTTTGACAGATTGAGTTCCTTCAATTGTATCGAACTAATATTTTTTCTTCTAATGAGATCATTGATCTTATTTACTTTTTAGTGTTCATATATGTTGATCATATGGTTTATTGCACTCATTGTTTAGAATATATTTGTTCCTACAATTCTAATAATAAATTAGTTGATCATAATAATAGTTAAAAATAATACCCAATCAAATAATTAAGTTTTAAATTAATTAGTTATAACAATAGTTAAACGTAATATTAAATTGAGAATTATATTTAATTTTATTTATATATAAACGGTAAGTGGAGATCATTGTAACATATAATTTTAAATTTGTTTATTTTAGAAAGATATTAAAATAATAAAATAGAATAAATATATATAAAAAGAAAAATAATTTTAGTGAGATTATTAAACTCAAACTCAAACTAACACACCTTAAAAAGATATACATCAAAATTAAAGATAAATTAAAATAAAATTCTAATAAGTACTTATATAGTTTACTCTAAAATTTATGAAACATGATAAAACTTATATGATAAAGAGACCGTGGATTCGAGGAAGTATCGTTGTAAAAGTTGTATACACTTTTACTGAAGACCAATAGGACCAATAGGTACTGGTATTGGTGGAGCCTTACATCACGTCACTATCTTTCCAGCTCCATTAAATTTAAACCCAACCTCAATTATATGTTTTCTTTCTTTTCTAGAAACCAATGTAACGTCAGATTTTTATTTTTAATATTTAAAGTACATGATATTGACAAGGGGGTTTAATTTACTCTAATCATCCATACACACACGACACACACGTAGGCTAAAACCTTTCTCAATTAAGTTTTTTAATTTACTCTAATCATCCATACACACACGACATACACGTCGGCTAAAACCTATCTCAATTAAGTTCAAAAAACAAATATTCATATATACGTGTTTAATTAGTCACCAAATGGTCAATGGCCTATTGCTATGGAATAACCATCTCATATGAGAGGTCAAAGGTTCAAGTCTCGGTGGAGACATAGATGGTTATTTAGAACTAGATTAGTTAGTTTGATGTTTCAAAAAAACATGTTTAATTAGTCAAGCCGTTTGAAAAAACAAATTAGGTTTTTCCAAATAAAATATTTATTTTTAAGTAAGAATAAATTAAAAAAAAAAAATTTAAAAAAACTATCTCTTGAATTTTTAGAAAATGTCTCTGTTCATTTTTTTCCATTTGAGTTTTAGACTTTTATCACAATACTTATGTATATTGGAAGGTTTGATCCCTATATATAAAAAAATTACTGAAAACTCCATGTAATTTACTGAAAAGATCCCTATGCATTTTTTTTTTATTGATATAGCTCATGTGTTCAAAAAATTAGAAAAATTCTCATGTCTAATAGAAATTTTACATATTTCTTCGTTCCTAAAACAAACATAAGTAGACTACCGGTTCGTGTCTCCTACAAAACGGGGAGGAGACAATAATATGGACTTTGAGAATCAATCTAAAATTATTAAACATAGCTAAAAAATAAATATTTTATTTATTTATTTATTTGATTTTTTTGATTTTTGTCATCACTTGAAAAGATCCGAATATAGTAGCATATTTAATGAAACTTATAATTCTTAAAAAATAAATAAAAATACTACGAATTTGTCACACAAATTCAAAATATTAGCCAATCAAGAGTGGAGGCGATCAAAGGCCACAAGAAGGCATGGATTTACGAGTGGTTGAACATTTTAATATTTTATATTACATGGAGTCGTCCACATGCTTTTTGCACTAAAAGAGAGCGAAGGCCCACGTCATTTATATTCTACGCCTATGGCGACCCCTCCCCGTGCATGTTCCTATCCAAAAGACTTGGGATCCTAAGAGATTTGCCTTAGAAAAATAAAATTACGAACTTTGTGTCTATTCCATGAGGCCATGACATTTTATTTATATATTGTTAGCTTAATAAACTATTATTTTTTTCCTTAATTTTTGGTACCTTTAATAATGTGGTTAAGTTTAATCTAATTAGTTTTTTTATTTGTATTTTTTTTCCTTTCATTGTAATTTTACTTCCTTTTTTATGATTTAATGAAACTCTAGCAATATTTTGTTCGGTAGTTTACATGCTATCAACGTCATATTCGGTATGTCGTTTATGATTGTTGGAGGCGAGTTGCAAGTAAGGCTTTTGCATACCACAGTAAGTTCTATGGGGATACGGGGGAATCGCGTCTCGTTTCGAAATTTTTGACGATTTTGGTTATGTCTTTCTAATATGTTTTTGTATTTGGTTTTGTTTGATTTGTTTGGATTGTTCGAGGGTTTCGATTATTGCTGGTATTCGTTTGAGTTTGGAGTTTTTTTTGCCTTTTTTTGCGCTGCAATTTAGGTGTCGCCGCCGCAAATTTTTGTCTTTCTGATATGTTTTTGTATTTGGTTTCCTTTCCTTCACTATATCACCGCAAATTTATATTTGCGCCGCGATTTTTGTTCGGAGTACAGAATTAGATAAACTTTTCTGCTTTTTATTGTTAACATGGCTCCAAATATGACTTTTTTCGATCTATCAGTATCCAATTTGATGGCAAGAACTATGCCTACTAGAGTTATGTTATGAAGATTTTTTTGAGAGGAAAGAACATGTGGGGAATTATCGCATGTACTCGCAGTAAACCAAGAGATAAGAAGCTTATAAATTATGTCACCTTATTGGAATCATGGGAGACTGATAATTCCAGGATTATTACTTGGATTAACAATTTTGTAATTCAATCGATTGACACATAATTGGCAAAGTATGACACTGTAAAGGAATTTTGGGATCACTTGCCTAGATTGTACCCACAGTCTAATTTTGCAAAAAAATATCAATTAGAGTTTGATATTCAAGCCCCCCAACAGAACAGTTTGAGTATTCAAGAGTTTTATGCTTCTATATTTGATTCGTAGGATCAGTTGGCTCTTACTGAATCGGATGAACTAAAGGCCTTCCATTCTTACATTGCCAAAAGGGATGATTAGTGTTTGGTTCAGTTGTTAATGGCTTTATGTTCTAATTGTGAAGGCCTACGTGAATCTATCTTGCGTCGTTCACCTCTACCGAATATTGATTCGGTTGTTCATGAGTTAATTGTTGAAAAAACTCACATCAATTCACATGTTGACAAATGGTCTAATTTTGCCACTACTCCAGCTGTAATTGTGATTCCACAACGAACTAAGAACTCTAATCAGAATTGTCCTAGAGTTGCATTTGATGAGTGTGTCTTCTGCAAAAAGAAAAACCATTGGAAATCTTAGTGCCCTTTGATGTTAAGTAAGGGAATTTAGCAAGGACAACAAACTAGACCATCTAGACAGTTTCAACTTCTTCAACAAAATCGATATTCTGGAAAGTTTTCACTATGCCCCTCTTTTCCACCTTTTTGTCCACCAGATTTCACTATTGCCGTTGCATCTTCAGTAGAGGCTGAAACAATGATTACACTACCATCAACTTTGGATCCTTAGGTTGTTGAAAAGTTCAGACAATTCATTGCCTCCAATCCTACTACCATGTCAGCATCCACGTCTCACTATTTAGGTA